TGCAGAAGCTTCCCAAGCCTCCATGGGGCAACCTCAGACTCCCAGGCAGCACTCTGCGGAGAGATATAGTCCCTCCCGCTGAAAGGCCTCCCGATTTCTACCACTAAACATTTACTGAGGTTCTCTATAGCATCTTCTAAAGTCCCTTTTCAAAATAGCTTAAGTTTAGCAGGGGTAATAAATCAAGCTCATCAGCCATCTTATAAGGATTACGGAAAAGCTGTTAGTGTTTAGTTTGTATGTCTCCTGGTTGAATGTACACAGCGGAAGGAGGAGCCACAATGTGAGAGACGCCTAGGCCCCTGAATGACTGATTGGGGCAGAGTCCGCTGTTCGAACCCCATGGCCAACCTCTACTGGATGGTGCCTAAGTACAAAAGAAACTTTGATAGTGTCAAAGCACGGAGTGCTTAGCCTTCCTCAACTAATGTGAATATGTATCTGTGAGATACACTCTTAGTAGTAGAATTGTTAGGCCATTTAAAAGTTACATGTTGCCAAACTGCCTTGTAAGTTGCTACCACAATTAGACTCCTACCAACGGTATAGAGTGTCTGTTTTCCCTTAAAATATATTATCCAGCGTTTGAAGCCATTCTAATATTAAAAAAATCCCCTTGGCGTTCAGCTTGCATTTCTTTAATGAATATGAGGGTGAGCATCTTTTCAAATATCTATAAACCATTTGTATTTATTTTTCTGTGAGCTGTCTGTGACCTGTCTATATTTTAATTATTTTTTCTCAGATTAATTTGAAACAAAGCTTTCTATAGTACAGAAGTTAGCCTTTGCTTTGTCACATGTGCTGTAAATTTCTATTTATTTATTTGCTGGCAACACAGATGTTTCTTTTTTTAATGTGGTGAAATGCATCACTCGCTTTCTGTTTTCTGGGTAGTGAGTTCCCCAATCTGAAAATATAGAGATGTCCAGCTACGTTTTGGTTTGGTCCAATTCTAGTTTCATTTTTTTTAATCTTCAAATCTTTCTTTCATATCAATTTATTTAGATGTAAGGAGTAAGGTAAGAATCTATCTTTTTTCCCTTGATGGTTGTCTCATTGAAGCAAATACAATAATAATCCATCATTTCCCCCCGACAAGAAATGCAATATTTATCATGGCATAGTTTTCACATTTATTTTAATTCATTTCTGAACTGTGTTATCTCCGTTGATCTGCCTATTGTGAAGTAGTACAATACTCTTTTAATTGCTTTCGTTTTATGACATTTAAATAAATGGGTAGAGGGTGTCATTTTCATTAGACCTTTTTCATATCTTTCCCTTCCTACTCTCAGATAATTATTTGCTCAGATGATGTTTAGATCAATTTACTTATATTCCAAAAACGAATTCTGTTGGTATGTTTTTTGGAATCACTTTCAGTTTACAGATTATTAATGATATAATTGACATCTTCATTGTATAGATTCTTGATACTCAAAAAAAATTTAAGTCTTTTACATGTATTCCTAACTTCTCTTTTTCATCCAACTTAGATGTCATGGTCTGGGATTACAATCATTCTCTTGGACACTGTATTAGTTCCCTGTCACTGCTGTGGCAAATGAGCACAAACTTAGTCACTTAAGTAACTCAAATTCATTATCTGGCATTTCTGCAGTCTGAATGAGGTCAGAAGTCTGAAATGAATCTTACTGGGCTAAAACCAAGGTGTCATCAGAGTTGCAGTCCCTTCTAGAAGCTCTAAGGAGAATCTGTTCCCTTGCCTTTTCCAGCTTTTAGAGTTTACTGTCATTCCTTGGCTTGTGGTCCCTTCCTCCATCTTCAAAGCCAGCAACACTGTGTCTAGTCATATCTTTCTGACTGCAGCAGGGCAAGTTCCTCTTCTTTTAAGTGCCCAAGTGATTAGTTTAGGCCCTCCTAGATAATCCACAATAGTCTCACTCTCTTAGGGACTTTAATCACATCTGCAAAGTTCCTTCTGGCATGTGAGGCACCATATTCACAGGTTCCAGGGACAAGGGCATGGCCGTATTTGGGGGCCCTTGGCTGCTTACCACAGGTATGCTCCCCACTGCCCTTTCCGTCTCTACTACCACTGAACTCAACTAGAAAATCCTGACTCTAGTGAGAGGAGGTTTGGATTAGCCAGGCCTGGAGAATTGAAAGTGTAAAATGGTGTCTTTTGCTTTAGTAGTGTTTACCTGCCAGGACGGTTATTTTGCCTTTTAAATTTCTGGATACTAATGTTGAATAAAACTTTTGGCATCTCCTGCAACGCTGCAACGTTGCTGGTCCATTAGCTCCCCTTTCTTCCACTTGTCTCCTCTTCCCTCAAACCTCCAGCACCTCCTGTCCATCCTCAATCCTTGCATATGAAATGGCTTCCTATTCCGTTAAAAGTGGAGAGGTAGTCTGGAGTGAAATTACACATGCTCTTCCACCGTCTTCTAATTTACTTGCCTCTGCATCCATGTAACTGACATGCATCTATTGCTATAGTTGGAGAGGAAGGCACAATCTCTGCTTGTGCTCTGGATCTCGGCCCTGCAGACCGCTCCAGAAACACCTGAGGAATTTCCCAACCCCCAATCTCCCATTCTTCCTTCTATATGGTGAATCCCAGAAGCTGATGAATATTTTACAGTATCATTTATCTGAGCCCTGGAGGCACCAGTCTCATGGAAGGAGAGGGTTTCCAAACAGATACCCATAAATAAATCCCTCTGCTCATCCTAACGTGACAAAGGGCAGACACGTGAGCTTGGGTATGCTTCCGTTTTTATTGTGCCCGTTGTCTTACTAGGCTTGGTGTCATTTCCTTAGGTCCTAGGCCCCCTGTATTTATTTTCCTGAGTAAACAATTCACACAGTGACTCTGCTTGATACCTCCGCTCGGGGGTTTGCATGGAACCAAGGGGCCGCCCTCAGACAAAGCGGCCATCATAGCTCTCAGCACTGGCTATGCATTTGAAGGACCTTGGTAAATACGGCACGGCTATCATCACCTGCCCAAAATAAGAGCTTCAGAACTCTTGGGTGATGTCTGTTTGTTTCCATCCAGCCACACAATCCCTTTTCTCTTCCATAAGTAAAAAATTATTTATAAAACACTAGTTCCCATCTTGATAGAAAATATCAAAATAACTCCTGTAGCATGAACATCTTTGAACATCCTTAATAAAGCAAATCATTTCCTGAACGTGAAGTACATAGTCTTAGAAATAAAAAATGGAGACAGAACTCCCAGCAGACAACTTTTATAAAACTGTCTATTCGGTAAAGGTTATGTATGTAGTGAGTATTTAAAAGCAGGAACAAAGAGAAACATCAAATTAACTGGATTTAGAAACAAAGCTACAAATATTTGTTTCATGATACCTCGTCTGATGTGCATGCAATCTAGGTTTCACATAACTTTTTAGGATCATCATTCTCTCCACTATAAATTAGGTTTGCCAATAACAATTCCCTCTCTCTCCCCCTCTCCCTCTCTCTCGGAAATCAAAGAACATGTGCGCCTATGAAAGGGAGCTAGGACTCTTGGGCACCACCTGGATCACCTTGTGAGTTAATGGAGGGGGGACGGCAACCCCTTGCTCTCATCTACCTCTTTCTCCTCCTGAACTCTCAAGACCTCTAGCAGAGTCCCCGATTCCAGCTTAAAGCATAAAAGTGGCCCAAGAGTCACCATTCAATGGAAACTCTATGGTCAGTGTTTCTATGCCACTCTTTCTGGTCAACAAAAGAGAACTTCCTACCGCAGAGGCGAACTGCCCGAGCTCACACTTGGGCGGGGGTGAGGGGACAAGTCCTCAGACCTGGTCTTAAGACTCCTAAGCCAGTGCCCTTTCCATGGGCCACAGATGAGTCAAGCAAACCATACTGCCAGCACGGTTGTTGACAGACCGTACGTTCACGTCCGTGTGTGTAGCAAGGCTGCTCAACCACTGCACTTGGACACTTGGGTCCTGACCATGCTTATTGTGGGGGACTGTCCTGTGTACTGTAGGCTATTTAACAGCATCCTGGCTTCTGCCTGGTAGAAGTCATTTGCATCCTTCCCTGAGCTGTAACAACTAAAAGTGTTGCCAGGCATTGCCAGATTTCTTGTGGAGGTAGAGGGCAAAACCATCCCTGGTTGAGAACCATGTATCTGCGTGTGTGTGTGTGTGTGTGTGTGTGTGTGTGTGAGAGAGAGAGAGAGAGAGAGAGATGTGGATTATTTTACAAATAAATATTCCTGCAGATACTGACATCCTCCAAAGCAATCTTCTAGCTTTTAGATGCTTGTTATACCTTTCCTGCTTTCTTTCACATTTCAGGCCCACTAGCCAATGTTGCACGTTATGACGGGTTTACTCTATTTGTATAACAGCATAGCTTTTCATCCTATCTCTGATTACCTTTCTGCTACACACTAATACAAAATGTAAAGTACCCTCACAGAAGACAGTAGACATTCAGAAGCAGATTTTTACAGATTAAAGGATTTTAAATACATGCTTTTCGTCTTTACCAGAATGAGGATCTGTGTAAAAACATCAGACAACCAGGCCTGGCTTCTCCCCAGGCTCAGAGTGATGAACCCCAACATAGAATGCCAGGTGAAGGACTAGACAAAAATGAGTTAACATTCCTATAATCCCTGAGTCAGGGTTTGCATAAAGTCAAAAGACAAGTTTAATAGACTGTTAAAACATTCTTTTCAACTGGTTATTTGGGAATCATGTTGAGATAGACAGGGTTTTTCTTCTCACCCTTTAGGTTGAGCTTTCTGAAACTCTTAATTGGTTGTTCTGAAGCCATGTAGACTGTTGAGATACATACCATTTTCCTTTTGAATGCCCCAAGTTGACCCTCCTTTTAAGTGAACCTATTAGTTGACATGTCAATTGCCCCTTTTGAACATGTCTTTCAAAATGGACGCTACCACCATCCAAGGATTAAGCAGCTGTAGCTTCCCTCCTGTGTCACGTTCGGTGCGAGGTGACTTTGCAGCTTACGGCTCTGGCGGAATGACAGACAGGCCTTACCTTTGGGAATAGTGATCTGGCAGCTCAGGTCGCAGTCCTGCTGCAACTGATAAAAAGCCACTTCCTGCAGCCGGGCCCGCTCCAGCTCTGAGAGACTCTGGATGGGGACCGACCTCAGACGCACGCTGCGGCCCGACATGCTGTTCCAGGTGAAGTCACCCTGCGGAGAAAGGGGAGAGACAGCAAGAGTTATACAGCTTGCCTAGAGCTCACAAATCTCATCCTCTCTCTCAGTCGGTAATAAAGGTAAGCAAACTTCACCTTTTTGTTCCAAAATTGGCTTTCGATCCCTAATATCAAATCCACTCCTAATTCACCCTAGAATTCCTCAGTCGGTTGCAAACACTGCAATCTTGAGCACCTGCTGAGTCAGCTGATCCCATATAGTGATGCCTCCTAGACCAAAGAAAACTGTGTGGGAAGGTGCTGTGAGGGTCCTACATCCTCTCTTTTATGGAAACACATGGAAACTTTTGGGTTTTGTATCTCGGTAACAGGAAGGACTGCTGCTAATTGGCCATGAGGCGCACTAGATGGAGCAGGCTGAATGTGCACTGATAGGCTACAATGCACCCGTGACTGCACCAAGGGCCTTTTAGTTATACGCCCCCCCCTTATGAGGGGGTTACTGCTTTTAACCCTAATATTTAGTAATATAATAACATTATATAATAACATAATCTAGGATATTTATAAGATATAATATATACTTATGATACATTATAATATATGGATACAGGTGCTCCTCAACTCACAATAGGATTACATCTCAATAAACCCATTGTAAGTTGAAAATATCATAAGCTAAAAGTGCATTTAATGCACCTAACGTACTGGACATCATAGCTTTGCCTAGCTTACCTTAAACAGGCTCAGAACACAATATCCAAAAGACGCTAGCAACACAGTACACTATAGAGTGTCGGTTGTTTACCCCCTGACTGCGTGGATGATTGGCAGCTGTGGCATATCACTAGCCCAGGAAAAGATCTAAATACAAAATTTGAAGTATGGTTTCTACTTTAACACCATCATAATGTCAAAAGAGTCTTAAGTTGAACCATTGTACATCAGGTACTGTCTATACTTATGATACATTGTATTAATATTATAGTAGTATACAGTAAATATAATGTAATTATATAAAATTGAGGCTTGGGAAGGTTAAAGTAATTTCCCCCGTATCATAAAACTTACAAGATTTGGAACCAACCAGGACTCAAGCTAAAAAGTTTAATGCCTTTGAATTCTATGCTAAATTGTAACCTCTGAGTTTCTTTTTACAGCAGTCGAATGAGATATTTTGATTACAATAAGTACAGAGATATGATCAATAAGAACTGTATATATTTTTAGAGACATGAGACGTTTGATGATCTAACACTCCACATCAAAGAATCAAAGCACTTCTGGTCAAGATGGCGGCATAGAGGCAACAGTTTGGGTATTCCTGCAGAATAACAACAAAAACCAAAACCCAGTTTTGTAATTTAAAAAAAGGCTCAAAGCAAACACTCTCACAATCTTGACTGCATTTGTGTGTACGCACACACACCTCCGATGTCCACTGGATTTGTGGTGGACGTGTGTGGAACACTTACGGAATCCCATAAGACTTCACCATCCTTATCACGGACCTTTAGAAAGGGTCAGAAAGACTGGCACCAGCAACTATTAAAATACCTTGTTCCCTACTGGCAGCAAATTCCTGCCTAGAATGCTCATTCCAAAGAGTGAATGGCACTATGTCAATGCTTTGATGTTTTCCCTCTTCATTTGGGATTTGATTTATTTATTTATTCATTGATATTTTTAAAAAGAGAGATATTATACCCTAGTAGGGGAGGAAGGTGGACGATGTACGTAAAGGGTATAGTATGTTAAAGAGTGGCAACTGCTGGGGAGGGAACACAAGGAAGGGAAGGGGCTGCCCGTGTGAGTAGAGAGCTGGAATGTGCAGCTTGGCTTAGAGTGGCCAGGAGTGGCCTCACAGAGAAGGCCATGTCTGAGCAGGAGTTAAAGGAAGCGAGGGCTTTTTGTTTGTCTTCACATGTATGACTTTGCATCAGAAGGGAGCCAGCAGCTATCTGAGGCGTCAAAATGGAATTACACACTTATTATTTAAAAGCATTTAAAAATGTGAGCTCTAATGGGCTCAATTATCTTTATTTAGCAGGGGTTGGCTATCTCTCTAAAAGACCCGATAGTAAATATTTCAGGTTTTTATAGGCCATGTGGTCTCTGTCAAAACTACTGTCAAAAACTACTCAATTTTGCCTTTGTGGCATGAAAACAGTCACAGACAACTCATAAATGAATGAGTATGGCAGTGTTCCAATAAAACTTTACTTACAAAAAAGGTAGAAAGCTGAATTTGGCCAGTGGGCTGAAGTTTGCCAACCCCTGAATCATAGCTTATGACCGAAATAAAGCAAGCCCTAGAAGACACATTTTATTTTTATTGTCTACATCCTCCTAGTTAATTAATTCAAACAAAATTGAATAGGCACCTAATACAGGCTAAGAACAGTACTAGACTTGGGACTATCAAAATGACAACATAGTCCTTTCTTTAAGGAGTTAAACTTTGGTGAAAAGAACACATGCAATCCATTACATACAGAGATTGCGATACTAGAAGTTAGTATCAAATGCAGTGGGGTGCCTGGGAGAAAAAGCTTTGACATCTGTCTGGGGGATCAAGAAAGGTTTTATAGAGAAGGCAGTGTTTCAATGGAGATTGAAAAAGTTGAATAATAGGGGTAAGGTTTTGCCCAGTGGAAATGGAAGGCTTTGTCCAGTGGAAATGCAACAGTGGAAAAAACAGTGGTTTCCAAGGCAAATGATTCTGAGAGAACAGGTTTGTTTTGGGAAATTACAACGCTGGAAGGAGGAAAAGAGCAGGAGGCAAAGCCATGGAGGATTCAGGGCCAGATCCTGGAGGGCTTTCTCTGTAGACATTGCAAAGCAGATTGGATTTTACTCAATAGGTGATGGCTAGCCATCCAGTGACCTCCAGTAAGAGAGAAGCATGCTCAGATTCATATATAGGAAAGAAGATTGGAAACAGATTTCTATAGGAATTGAGGAAGGGACCAAGTCTAAGATGTAGAAATCAGAAAAGATGCTCGACTAGGTAAGATGATGATTTAAATTTGAACAGACAGGGAGACGCTCAGACCACACAGATGCTTGGGGACAAACTGGATGCAGTGGTCAGGTGGGAAAGAAATAATCTAGGATGACTCTTAACTTTCTGTCTTGAGCACACTAATCACCACAACAAGAAAGAGCAGAAGGGAATTAGGTTTTATGGGGAAAGAAGAAAAATATTCAAGTTTTGACATTATTAAAATGATATTCACATTTTTTAAATTTAAAAATTTTTATTTTTGATGTTAGAGAGACGGGAAGGAGAAAGAGAGGGAGAGACACGAGACAGAAACATTGATTGGTCGCCTTCCATACGCTCCCCGACCAGGGACCAAACCTGCAACCCAAGCATGTGCCCTGACAGGGAATGGAACCTGCGACCTTTTGATTTGCAGAAGGAGGGCCAGGGCAATAATCTTATTTTTCTAAGATAAATAAATAAATAAGTACATACACCTTTCCAAATCTGGCAAAACAAAACCTGACATCTTTCTTGAGCCTTCATTTTCTTCTCCCAACTAAAACAGTTCCAAATGTAATCAAGTAAACATGTCGTTCTTGAACTGGTTTACAAATGACTACCTACTTAGCATAATAAAAGCTGAAGTGTGTGTAGAAGGCTACAGCCCAATCCCAGGAGAAACAAGCATGGTGCTCTCCTGAAAGCAGGGCTGTCGCGTTAGTCAGGCCTTGGGAGAATCATTTCAAAAAGGAGGTACCATCATCTCCAGAGCCAATTGGTTCTTAAACCCATCCTTAGCCCATGGCTGACAAAAGCAATCTCCCCCGGAGAGGTTATTAAATAATAAACAAAGAGGGACTTCACAGGGGTCTCCAAAGGTACCTATTATCAAATAAGCAGCACATTAAATAGCAACGATATCATTCAGTTACAGTTTTGATTATGGGTAATGAACCAAGTTACCTCCTAATCCGTATTATCCTACAGACTGGAATAAGTGAAACCTAAAGAATTCGGATAGACCTGGGAGAATCTAAATCAAAACAAAAGTGCCAATAAAACTTCACTCCTGGACACTAAAATTCAAATCTCATATAATTTTTAGGTCACAAGTATTATTATTCTTCTGATTTTTTTCAACCATGTAAAATGTGAAAACCCTGGTTAGCTGCAGGTCATACAAAACAGGCAGCAGGCTGGGTTTGGCCCACTGGGCTGTGGTTTTGCTGACCCCTGATAGATAGATTAGCGTCGTTTAGTGCCCTACACATATTTATTTAGTATCTACTATCACGTGGCAGAGACCTGGGTCTAGGACCCTGCATCATGACCTATATATATAAACTAGATTCATGAGGGCAAGAAGCTTGTCTGGTTTATTTACCTTGATGTTCCAGTATCTAACACAGTACCTGCTACTTACCGTATTTTGTCATGTATCATGCATGCTTTTTGCCCAAATTTTTGAGGGAAAAATAAGGATGTAACATTATACATGGGCAGTACCCGAAATACCTTGTATCTGTTCTTGTGTCTTGTAATTATTTGTTACATAAAATTTCTTGTACCATACTATGTTCAAAAATAAATGTTAAAGTTCCTTTATAATACAAAAACAAGTACCTAAAAATAAATAAATAAAACTTGAATGAAAGAATTAAAATGAAAGATTTTTTTCCTGAAAGCTTGAGCCAAAAATGTGGGTGCGCATTATACACAGCAAAATACGGTGATTGTCACTGCCTAAATATTTATCAGTCAAGGGACTAAGTGAATCAGGTGCCTCATGAGTCCAGTAAGGAGCTGGAAACTAACGAAATCATGCAATGTTGCATCTATGTGCGAGACTGTCTTCTGGATTTGAATAAAATGCTAAGAAACACTCTTTTGAACCAAAGACTGTGGTGAGCCAAAAAATGCCTGTGTGCAAGGGAAGAAAACAAATGTAATAATATGGGACCTAAGGAACAGTGAATCCATGACACCAACACTTACCCATCAGACTTTGTACGAGCCCACCAGCATGGCCTACAATGTGGTTCTGG